AAAAAAAAAAAAAAAAGAAAAGAAAAGAAAAATAAGTAAGCAAATAATTACAGAAAACCTGTTTCAAAAACCTGTTACAAAGCCACAGAAATGAAACAGGATGCTACTGGAGTGAAGAGAGACATATAGACCATTGGAATAAAGCACCCAGCCCAGAAATAAACCCTTGTATATATAGTAAAATGGTTTAGTCATGGGTGTCAAGACTGTTCAATGAGGAAAGACACACTTTAACAAACAATGTTGGGAAAACTGGAAATCCACATGTAGGGGAATAAAATTCAAACAGATATAAAAATTAACTCAAAATGGATCAAAGAACTAAATGTGAGAGCTAAAATGATAAAAACTCTTAGAGGAAAATATTATGGAAAAGATTCATGACATTGGATTTGGTAGTGATTAATTGGCTATGATACCAAAACATAGGCAACAAAACCAAAAAGAGACAAATGGGAATCCATCAAATCAAACATTTCTTTTCATCAAATGACACAATCAGGAGTAAAGCTGTAGCTCAGTGGTAGAGCCCTTGCCTAGCAGGTGTGAGGCATTAGGTTTCATCCTCAGTACCACATAAAATAATCAATAAATAAAATATAGGCATTGTGTAAAAAATTCTTAAAAAATAACACACAATCAACAGGATTTTATTATTATTTTTTGTGTGTGGGTATTTTACTGGAGTTGAACCCAAGGTCTCTTGCATGCTAGGCAAGTGCTTTATCACTAAGGTAAAGCCCTTTCTCTCTTTCTTTTTTATGTTTTTAAATACTGGGGATTGAACCAGTAAGCTTCATGCACAGCCATTTTTATTTTAATTTTGAGATAGTATCACACAAAGTTTCCTAAGCTGACCTTGAACTTGCAGTCCTCCTGCCTTGACCTCCCTTGTAGCTGACCCAGTCTTCTACCCACCTTTTAAAATTTTATTTTGAGACAGGGTTATATTGCCTGGGCTATCCTCAGACTTGCAGTTTTCCTGCCTAATGTTTATTATTATTTTTTAAAAGATTCATATAAATTGCTTTGGTAGGTGATGGAATAACATTTTTAATGTGTCATGAAGACATTTTCAATCTAGTAGGGGATCAAGAGTATAAGAAAAAATGTTTCAGTAGAATACTTAGGAAAGAATTAGGATTGTTTAGAAGTTGGGAGAGTTAAATAAAATATGACTACTTTGAGGAGGTAGAGATGGCAGAGTTGATTGGGATGGAAAGTGGTCAGCAAGGAATTTTTGGGTTTCTGTGTGCCAACATGGAATATTTATGGTTCTGGAGGCCAAGAGCGCATCATTATACAGGTCAAAGATCTTTAATGATGTCTACAACTCATTACATTGCTTAGAAACTGTGAAAGAATACATTTGTGTTGTTGTAAGCCACCCAATTTGAAGTATTTTGTTGTAGAAGCCATGAAATACTAATAGAAGGAAATCATAGAAAAAAGGATACATATTTTTCTATGTGTTTTAATTTAAAGATGTCATTCCTTTACCAAGGAAATCTTGTTGCCTGACTAGACTTTCCCTTTGGCTTGGGTATAGAGATTGATTGATTGATTGATTGATTTTATTTTTATCTTTTTTTGAATTGCTGAGTTTAAGCCCAGGGCCTTGGTAAGTACTCTACTGCTAAGCTGTTATCTCCAGCCCTGGTATAGTGATTTAAAAAAAAAAAAAATTTTTTTTAAATGGAGGCTCATAGGAGGTTACAAAGAAATGTACAGAAAGTCCTACAGTCTCCCCTAGTATAAATACCTTACACAACTATAGTACAATATCATACCAAAAATTTGACATTGCTACAATCCATATAAATTATTCAGATTTCTTGAGTTATACACACCCTTGTTTATGTGTGTGTATAAATAACTATATGTAGTTTTATCACATGTAGCCTTGCATCTCCACCACAGTAGTCAACATATTCAACAGACCAGTCACCACAAGACTCCCTGTGTTATCTCTTTATAGCTGCACATATTTCTTTTTCCTTTTCTCTAACCCTTGGTAGCCACTATGCTCTTATCCATCTTTATAATTACATTGTTTCATGAGTTCAAATTAAAACCAAAAATGAGATACCTATAAGAATGGTTAAAATGTAAAATGAAAAATATAATATCAAATGCTGGCTAGGATTCAGAGAAAATGGATAGCTCGTGCATGATGATGTAAAAATGAATGTAAAATGGTATGTATGACCATTGTGGAAAATAGTTGGGCATTTCTTTTCAAAACTGAAAATAGATTTACCATACCACCCACAATTTAATTCTTGAACATTTATTGTAGACAAATTAAGACTTATTTTCATGTATTAATATATACATGAATGTAAGAAATATAAACGTGTGTGTACATATGTGTGTACATGTGCGTGCGCACATGTGTATGTATATGAAATAGGAAAAAAAGCCAATTGAATTTCCTTAGTGGTAAATGGTATTGAATGTCTTTTCATGTATTTGTTGTCTGTATATCCTATTAAGTAAATTGTCTCTTGCTCATTTTTTAATTTGATTGTTTTTTACTGTTAAGTTTCAATGTTCTTTGTGTATTCTTTCTTTTTTTGAGCCAGAGTCTAATTTGCCCAGTTGACCTTGAACTTTCTATCTTCTGCCTCAGCCTCCTGAGTAGCTAGGATTAGAGGCCTTTGCCACTATGCATTCTTTGTGTATTCTAGAAGGCCTTTGTTGGACTTTTTCCCCCAAGTCTATAATTTTTCTTTTCATCCTTCCTTGCCCCACTCCCTATACTGGAGTCTTTTATCATTATGATATAAACTATAGATTTTTCATTTTTGTTTTTAATGCCCTTTATGAGATGAAGGAAATTTCCCTCCTCTCCTATTGCCCCAAGAGTTTTTATCATGAATGGGTTTTGATGTAATCAAGTTATTTTTCTTCTTTGTCATATTGATTTGATGTATTACATCAATTGATAAATCATAATATATTACATAGTATAATATATGTAGTATATTATATGATAAAACAGTATTTTTTATTGTTGTTGGGTTGGATTCATAAAATTAATTGAGGATTTTTTATTTATGTTCATGAAAGATATTGGCCTGTAGTTTCTTTTTTTGTTCTGACTTAGCCCAGTTTTTGTATCAGAGTAATTACTGACCTTGTTAGGTGAGTTGGGAAGTATTCCCTTTTCTTTTATTTTCTAGAAGAAATTATTTAAAACATATGAGTGGCAAAATAAATTTTCCATTGAAATCATCTGGACCTGGAGATTTCTTTGGGGGACTTTGTGTGTGTGCATGCGTGTATGTGTGTGTATATGTGGGTTTTTTACTGGGAATGTAACCCAGGGGCACTCTACCACTGAGCTGTACCCCTAGCCCTTTTTTATGTTGAGTCAGGCTCTGGCTGAGTTGCCTGGCTGTCCTCAAACTTGTGATCCTCCTGACTCAGGCTCCCAAGTTATTGGGATTACAGGTGTGTGCTCCAGTGCCAAGCTATTTCAGGGGCATTTTTTTTAGTTGTAGTTGGACACAATACCTTTATTTTTATGTGGTCCTGAGGATCAAACCCAGGGCCTTGCACATGCTAGGCAAGCACTCTTCCGCTGAGCCACAACCCCAGCACCTTTCAGGGGTATTTTGAATTACAAATTCAATTTCTTTAGTAGTTGTTAGACTATTCAGATGATCTTTTTCATCTTGGCTGAGTTTTGCTAGTTAATTGTTTCAAGGAATTAGTTCATTTCTTCTAAGTCATTGAAGATATAAGTGTAAAGTTGTGTGTGTGTGTGGGTGTATATATATATATATATCCTGCTACATGCCACTTAATGAGGGGAATACAATGAGAAATGATACTTAGGCAACTTCATTGTTGTATGAAACTCATAGAACTCATGTTTACAGAAACTAAGATAGCTTCACCATCACTGGGCAATATAATTTTATGGACCACCATCATATAGGCACTCTATCATTGACTGAAGCATATTTAGGTCATGTGTGGCTTTAAATAAAGGATGTCCTTATGATCCTTTAAATTTCTTTGCTATTTCCTCTTTGACCTGCAGATCATTTTTAAATTAATTAATTTTTAAATTGACAAATAAAAATTGTACACATTTATGGTGTACAACATATTTTCATATATGAATACATTGGGAAATGATTAAATCAAACTAATGTATGATGAGAGCCTTAAGTGATACCACAACATGGCAGAGAAGCAGAAGAGCAAGTAGGTGTGTGCCAAAGAAAGATGACTTCCTCCCATGAGATCTCTCCCAAGAACAACATTAATCCCTTCCTAGGGGCAGAGCCCCCATGACACAAACCCACCTCTTAAAAGTCCCACCCCTCTCAGCTCTTACCCTGGGGGGGCCAGATTTCAATGTGCATTTTGGAAGGGACAAACCATAGCAATGTGGTTTACAGGAAGCAAAGAGATTGACCACTTATATCTCACGTGGAAGAGTCATGTGGAATGAAGACTGGCACTGGAGCACTGATTTTGGGATGGTGATTTTCACGGTGACCTAGGCTAAAAATATTTCAGTAGAGTTGAAATATTTATTGAAGTGAGTTATAAATGACTAACATATAGGCAGGGAAAGGAAGTTCTATTCCATAAGTGGTACTGAATCAGTGGGTATCTGTCTAGAAAAATAGTAATATTGATTCCTACCTCAAACCATCAAAAATCAAATCTGCATGTATTGTAGATGTAAATATGAAAGGTAAAAGAGTAAAACTTCTAGAAGAGAGTATGGATATAT